ACAGAGGCTGCCCCTCCCTTCCGCTGCCTCCTTTTCCCACCCGCCGCTCTCCCCCTGCAGGCTCGTGCAAGCTGCGCTTCGCGAACATGTCGGAGGACCTGTGGTACGCGCCGCCCACGCTCAAGGCGGCGAAGCGCGCGCGCGTGCTCCGCAGCGCGGACACGTCCAAGCGGCGCAAGCTCGCAAAGTGGCTCAAGGCGCGGCTACGCGCAGCACCAGGCCGCCGCCCCACGGCTCCGCGCCGACGTGAGGTCGCCGCCCTCCCCCCGTCTCGCCGCAGGCGCAGCCACGCGAGCAGGGCGCAAACGCGCTGTCGGGCCTCTCGTCGAGCGGGCCCGCGCCGCTGCCAAACGCGTCGACGTGGAGGTGCGCACTATACATTAATTAATACTTAATTAATTAACTTAAGTAATCCGCGGCGACGTGGAGGGTGCGCACGAGGCCGCGGCGGCCGCCGGCCCCTCGCACCCTGCCCCCCCTGACCCTTCTCGGACGCTCCCCCCGCAGGCCGCACGAGACCGAGGCGGCGCCGGCCTGAGGCGCGGGGGCCCGAGCCGGGGGGCAGTGCGGCGTGCGGCACGCGCCGAGCGGGGCCGCCGGGAGAGCGGCGCGACCCGTTGCGGCGGCGGCGTCTCGCCGCGGCGATGATTTTGACGGAGGGGCGTCGGAGAGAGGGCGTCGGCCGACCGCCCCAGCGCGGGGCGCAAAGTACTATAGCCAAGGAGCGAGTGCGGGAGTGGCAGGCTTGGCGCTATATGCAGAGCGCTGCACTCGGGGGGGGGGGGGGGGGGGGGGTTTGACCGGCCCCTTGAGCAAAATCCGGGAGCCCTAACGGGGCCCCGGAACCGGGGGGGGGGGCCCGGCCGGGCTTTCCCGGGGGGGGGGCCCCAGAAGAAATGCCGCAACGGCCTCTCTGCCGGCGCGGTGGGGCGGTGCGCACGGCGCGCGCGGCCGCCGTTAATATGCGTTGAGGAATTAACTCGAGCCGTGTATACACGCGTGTGGCGGTTTCCTTTTCGAACGGCGAATCTTCTGCCACGTGCCAGTCCGCGCCTGTCCCCGGCTCGCGGCTGTGCGCTGTGCCCTCGAGAGCCTCGTGTGAGCTGTGTGGCTAGTGCCATTTCACTCTGTCTCTGACACGCTAATCTTGAAAACGTCTCCAACGGAGCTCCGTGTTGCTTCCAGCGCCCTCCCCCGCGCTTCCTGCGGCCATGGCCGATGATCCTAGGAAGAGAGGTCATCTGGCTACCGCGAGAGCGACCCAACTCGTCGACATCGTCCGATGATGGTGCCTCAAAGTCAGCCTTCGGAGGCTATCGTGGGGTGGAGCCGGCAGTAGCCGTGACATGTGGTTCCACCACCCCTCGTAGGCTTTGCCTCTGACCGCCACCGTTCCCAGGCTGCCTACTGGGATGGAAAGGAAGGCTCGGCGAGCGTATAGAAGCGTGCTCGACCTCGTCGTGGCAGCCTGTACGGCAGCGCTGGTAGGCGCGATGAGCGTCGTGCCACCTGACCCGAGACAGGTCGCAGGCGTCGTACCGAGCGCGTCGAGACCGTGTCCTGATGTGGTCTGCACGGGTGAGTCACGTCGGCGTCAAAGGAGCGACGTGTGACCTGTCAGAGCTTGATCTCCGATCTCAGCGGCGTCGAGTCGTCTCCGGCGCGCAACAAATGTACCTCCCCAGGACGCGCAGAGGCAGCTGCGACCCCGCCGAGTAGACGGCGGCACACCGCGCCACCTGCTGTGTGCCGCCGTCTACTCGGCGAGGTCGCAGCTTCCACTGGAAGGCACCGAGAGGTACATTTTTCGCGCATGGTCAAAATCAAGGTTTTGTAACGCGGGCTGTGCCAGTGAAATGGCACTAGCCTGTGTGTGTCGCGAGCCTGTCTGCTCGTGTGACGTGTGACGGACCACCGCGGTCGAGTTTCTTTTCGCGTGCCGCCCAGTATTGTGCGAGGGGCGGTACAATAAATTCTTTTCGCGTGTGCTTGATTGAGTTACCGGTACCTGGTGCCTGGCGAGTAGAGGCCCCGCCCTCCGTGCTCCGAGGACCCATCTTGGACTCTTTCGAGCGGGGCCGATGCTTTGCTCCATAAGAGTGAACCCCCCCCATGAACACACCTGTGAGGGAGGGCGAGACGATCGAAGGGTCCCGTACCATGCGGAATCGACCCTATCCAGTGCTCAAGTGCTCAAGATGAAGAGACCTCGAGAGAGAGCGAAGTGCCAGAACCCAGGTGCTGCCCGGTGCGTGCTGTGCGCGCGCCAGTCTTCTCGATGCCGACGCTCCGTGACCGTCGGACAATACTCCCAGCAGACGACAGCACGAACGAGCTGGCCTCGGCCCTCGCTCACACAACGCTTGCAATTCCGGCGACGGCGACAGCCACGGAGGAAACTCGAGCTCAAGCCAGCGGAGACAGGTCGACCGCGTCGCGTCGCCATGTGCCAGCGGGGCTAAGAAGACGCCGGCCTTCCTCCGAGGAGCCAACACTCGAACAACGCCGCCTGGCCTCTGCGCTCCGGCTCCAGGAGCGCGCAGTCGCTGCGGGCAAAGCGACGCGCTCGGCTTCGAGATCGGCCAGCGTCGAGCTGCAGCCGTGGCCGTGGGCGAGGGCTGCGCGAGGGCGAGGCATAGCAAAGTCTCAAGGCCAAGGACGGTCGGCGGCGATTGCGCGCTCTGCCCGGATCGGCAGAGCGGCCGTCGCCGCGGCACTGCACCAGCGAGGCTCCGCTCCGCCTCCAGACATCGGAGGACTGACTGCCCTCTCGTCACTGAGCCTGCAGTCGCCGCAAGGTGGCGAGGATAGTGTTTGATGCGCGTAGTCGGTTTTTATTTGACGATCGATTCGCCCACCAACTAGGAAGAAAACTAGACACAAAATATCATACACACGCTCGCCTTCCTGCGATCGCTCGCGCACGGTGCACACGGTCGCCACACACATACACACACGCGGCACACGCGCGGACACTCATGACTTGGCTGGTCGACCCAACTACTCGCCTCACACGCGTACAAACGAGGCTCATCTCTCAAACATCTGAGACACGTTGAAGAGCTGTGATGGTGCAAAATTTTTGCGGTTGGGCAGGACAGCGTCCATCTGGCTCGCCTCCACGCCAAACCACTCGAGCACACCGTTCCATAAAGCCTCCCATGAAGTAGTTGGCAGCATGCGACCGCGACCCAGGTCCAGGTCACTACCTTCGCTGATGTCTGACGGGTAGCTGCCGAGAATGCGGCGACCCTTGACCGCCCCGCCCATCACAAACGTGTTGCCTCCCCACCCATGGTCCGTCCCCTGCCCGTTGCTGCTGAGGGTCCTGCCAAAGTCGGAAACGGTGACGACGGTGACGCCCTCCCACCGGCCCTGCGCCTTGAGCTCGAGCTCGAAGCTCGCGAGGGCGGCGTTGACCTCCCCCAGCTTGCGATCCACAATCTCGACCGCATCGGTATGCGTGTCAAAGCCAAAGTGCTCGGTGAAGAATGCCGCGCGCTCTAGCTGCAGCTGCGGCTGCAGCTTGAGCACCTTCGCAACCTGCGCCAGCTGCATCGAAATGGGGTCGTCGGCAAACGCAGTCGAGAGCGTCTGTGAGTCTAAAGCAGCGCCGAGCTCCTCTGTTGAGCGTAGAGCCTGCTCTAGAGCTCGTTTATACGTTTCCGCAAAGACTGATCCGGAGACGGGCGAGGTGATGTTGCTAATCTTGGCGCCCAACTCTCCCAACTCGCGAAATCGAACCACGCCAGACTCCTTGCTGAGAAAGTCGGGCTCGTACGGCGCGCCTTCAAGCATCTTGGCGCTGCCGCTCGTGCTGAAGAGACGCGACCGATGCCGACGCTCCTGCTTGTCGAGCGCCGCCATGGTGCGACCGAGAATCCCCTTAGCCCGGATCGACTGCGCATGCAGGTTTTGCGCGCAACGCAGTTGGATGTTGTGAGCGAAGAGGTGCAGGGGCAGCTGCACGGCTCCGAGCGCAAAGTACTGCTCCTTGGTGGTGGGCTCGACCAATGCGCCAATGTTGGCTATCGCGAGCGCATCCCCGGCAATATAGGCCCGCTGGAGTGCCGTTAGCCGTGGGTGCAGCCCAAAAAAGTCGCACGGCTGTTCCGCCATGTCGGCAGGAAGGCGAAGAAGGTTTGACTTGTTCAGGGCGACCTTTCCCCGCCGCCGTTGGTACTCTGAATAGAGATCGCGATAGCACGAGCTGGGAACCAGAGCATTCCACGAGTCGAGCCCACCGTTCATGTAGAGCACCACAATCGCCTTGAATGGCTGGCCGCCCGGTGCGGCCAGCGTGGCCACGCTGTGGCGTGGGCCCCGCTCAATATCAAGCCCGGTGAAGTGAAATTCAGGCGCTGCGATGATGAGCTTCTGGGCCACTCTAAGCGCCTCTTGCGCAGGGGTGGTGCTGTACTGCTCCCGCATTCTTGATCGATCTCGCCACTGCTGCCTGCTGTCGTCAGGATCTTGGCCTGGCGAGGCAGCTAGTAGCGCCTCTCCATACGCTTCAGCGATCACTCGCCGGCTCACAGCACCCAGCCGGCCGTCGGTGAGCAACAGCGCGAGCTCGTCCACAACCGCTGTCGCCGTCTCCTTTTCGCGCGGCAAAAATGTGAGAGTTCCGTCGGATGTTTCCAGCGCAGACGTGTCAAAACTGCGGTGATAATTGCAGGCGCGAGGTGGGCGGCTAAACGGCTGCCCAAAGCCGCCGTGGCAGTTGGTGTTGTACCGATCCCGGAGAGTGAATGCGTGTCGATGCCACCGCGAACCGGGGTCACATGGCCCAAACACTGTGCCTACTGCGGATGCACTCCGCTGACGGGGACTTGAGCGCTCGCGTAAATAGTGCCTCAGCAGTGTCGGGCGTAGCGCTTGCTGTACAGCTACCCATGAGGCTGGCCCAGCTATGGGATCAGTGCCGTGCGCTAACACGAAACGGTGGATGTCAGACCGAGACGGTCCAAAGGTTGCCTGCGTCAGGAGCCGCGAGATCATCCTTTCAGCGCTCACTTGGCTGAGCGAGGTAGCATCAACTTGGTATGAGCACGAAGTGCCTTCAAGAGCTACTGCGCAAGTCAAGGAGCTGCTGCAGTTGATCTGCAACAGTTTTGTCCTCAAGCCAGCAGCTCGCACGCTCTCCCACTCATGCCCGTCATAGCTGCGTGCCAGCACCCTTTCGCTGCAGGGCACGCTCTGGTTGCTGAGTTGACTAAGCGTTAGCAGCAACCTTGGTGACGAACGTGGAAGCACAAATCTTGATGTTCGTTGTGCGTCCACAGGCACAGATAAAGGAAACCCATTCACATTAGTGCGAAGCGGTGGCGGTGAAGGCGGCAATGGCGGCGGCGGCGGCGGCGGTAATGGTGGCGAGGGAGGCGGCGGCAGAGCGTGCTTCATGTACGTGCGGTGGCTGCCTGCTCGCTGTGTGCCGGTACAAGAAGTTACCGCAGAGCAAGTGAACCAGATCGCGCCGTCTCTGGCGAGGGACTTGACGACCATGAGTCCGATGCAGCGCGCGCTTGCATCGCAGCGCCGGCGACACTCTGGAAGATGGTTGTCGCTGTCGATCGCGTTCATGCTCCATGGCGTCGGCCAAGCGCCGATGCAACTCACGTCTCCCAGGAAGTAGTACGCCGAGTAGCATAGCGCGTCGCGCTCGTTTGCTGTCTGGTCTGAGGGGCAGCCGTAGACGCCAACAGAGGAGAGGGGCGTCGTCGGAGGCGGCGATGGCGGCGGCGGCGGAGGCGGCGGAGGCGGCGGCAGCGGCGAGGGAGGCGGCGGCAGAGCGTGCTTCATGTACGTGCGGTGGCTGCCTGCTCGCTGTGTGCCCGTACAAGAAGTTACCGCAGAGCAAGTGAACCAGATCGCGCCGTCTCTGGCGAGGGACTTGACGACCATGAGTCCGATGCAGCGCGCGCTTGCATCGCAGCGCTGGCGACACTCTGGAAGATGGTTGTCGCTGTCGATCGCGTTCATGCTCCATGGCGTCGGCCAAGCGCCGATGCAACTCACGTCTCCCAGGAAGTAGTACGCCGAGTAGCATAGCGCGTCGCGCTCGTTTGCTGTCTGGTCTGAGGGGCAGCCGTAGACGCCAACAGAGGAGAGGGGCGTCGTCGGAGGCGGCGATGGCGGCGGCGGCGGAGGCGGCGGAGGCGGCGGCAGCGGCGAGGGAGGCGGCGGCAGAGCGTGCTTCATGTACGTGCGGTGGCTGCCTGCTCGCTGTGTGCCCGTACAAGAAGTTACCGCAGAGCAAGTGAACCAGATCGCGCCGTCTCTGGCGAGGGACTTGACGACCATGAGTCCGATGCAGCGCGCGCTTGCATCGCAGCGCTGGCGACACTCTGGAAGATGGTTGTCGCTGTCGATCGCGTTCATGCTCCATGGCGTCGGCCAAGCGCCGATGCAACTCACGTCTCCCAGGAAGTAGTACGCCGAGTAGCATAGCGCGTCGCGCTCGTTTGCTGTCTGGTCTGAGGGGCAGCCGTAGACGCCAACAGAGGAGAGGGGCGTCGTCGGAGGCGGCGATGGCGGCGGCGGCGGAGGCGGCGGAGGCGGCGGTGGCTGAAATGGCAACCGCTCACACTTTCTGCAGAGCGCGCATTTGGCATTCCGCCACAGACATTTGTTGTGCCACGGGAATGTGTTGCGGTCGCAGTACCGAACGCATGAGGCCAGTGGCAAGGCTGCCGGTGCTGGAGACGGAAACGACGGGGACGTCACCGGTGACTTCGGCGTCACGGCTGAGGGGGGTGGTTTGGGGCGCTTGTTTTGGCGGGGCGCTTGGGCTGCTGGCTGGCGCGAGTAAAAGTTGGCACCGGAGCCTTCGTCGCTCTGGCGTCCAGCGTTCGAGTCGCTCCCCTCGCCCGAGGCATCATCTCCCACAAGGCCAACCTCGCCTGAGGCATAATCTCCAATCGCATCTTCTCCAGAGCCGGAATCGAGCTCGTGATTGTCATCGGCTAGAGTTGGTGGGAGCTGCACTGATATGGTTCGTGGCGAACGTTCTGGTGGCTGTGACTGAGCAAGAGCCTCGCTTTCGTGAAACAAGGCCGAGATTGAGAAAGCGATCACAAGCATCGGATGCGGCCCAACAGGGGCCCATGACGGATGGATGAAACGTGCGTCCCGAGCGCCCTCCAGCACTGCTCAAGGAAACCGTGCCGCTCACCCGTGGTTATTTTTCGGCCCCCTCCCTGCGAACGCGCACCCCCAGGCAATTCTCCAGGGTTAGGGCACTTACATTTGCTGAGGAGCTCCAGCAGTGTGAAGGGGATCCAGGGCTCGCACCTCAACCTCTCACAGACCAGCGCACAGCGCTTGACGTATTTTCTTCTCGCAATAAATGGAGAGAGTCGTAGTTCGTAGATGCTAGATCGGCGCACGCTCGCGAACACAACAGAGGACCGTGGCGTGAGGGCGATGAGATCATAATTTCTGCACATCAGTGAGCGTTTCACTCTACGCATCTCCTAGCCGAGTCTCCTGTCTGACTCATCGCCACATCTCAGAGAACAATCCCGCCCTGCCAGCCTTCCAAGATCAGTTCGCGCCTCGTGGCCGGTGCGAGTAACCCCATACGGCTGCCGAGCTCAATGCGAGTAGCTGCGCGCAAACCGTGATCTCGCGGAGCGGCCACGCGCACACGCGTCACATGCGGCGCGGCGTCTTTGGCTTCTCGACGCCGATCTTGCCCCAGAGGTCGAACTTTGGCGCCTCAAACTTGTTGACCCACTTGAACTCGTCGCCGCCGTAGTTGTGCAGCGGCGTCGTGCTCATCGCCATCTCGCGAACGCTGGAGGGAAGGACGGGGAGGCGGATGAGCCGAGACTGGCCGAGATTGATCGAGACTCGCGGGGTGCGCAAGCCGTGGTGGGAAGCGTCGAGTACTTTCACAGGGGCGGGCAGGCGGCGCTGGGGCTACGGTTCGCTATGCGACGTCTGCGCCTCTCCGACGCGTTCGTCTGCGAGTGGCGCTCCGAGTTGGCGGCGGCGAGCACTGCGCTCATCCGCGCCTGCTTCCGCGCCTGCTCACACCCGCAGCCATGAAGAGACGCCGTTTCGCGCGCGCCGGCGCGCGCCGTCCGCTCCCCGCGTGTCCGCGCGCCTTCTCGCGCTTGGCCGTGTCGGGCTCCTGTGCCGCGGCAGAGACGGCGTCCCCCTGGCTCGTCCGCGCTGCGACCGCCACGGCCGAAGAAGGCGGCTTGCGCATCCCCGCCGGTGCGTCGACGCCCAGGATGGCGCGCAGCGTCTCGAGGTGCGTCGTGTACGCGCCTCCCCCCCCCATGGCGAGCCGGATGCGCTGCATGCGAGGCAGCTGCGCCACGGGGGAGGCGGGGTGAGCCGAGATGTGTGTTCTCGCGTGATCTCGTGTGATCTCGTGTGATCTCGTGTGATCTCGTGAGGCGCCGAGATGAGCCAAGATGAGCCGAGATGAGTCGATATCACACCGAGAGGAGCCGAGATCGCACCTGCGCCACGAAGATGCGCGCGCGGCTCGGGTCGCGCTTGCGCAGGTAGTGCAGGATCCTGCAGTCGAGATCACACCGAGATCACACCGAGATCACACGGAGATGGCTTGCGCTGGCAGTGTGGGAGCCAAGGCAGCAGCTTGACGGCGCCGCCACCGCGAGGCGCCTTGCAGGGAGTAGTCAACGGCTGACTTCTTCATCAGTGATTGGCGGCTCGTAGGTGTAGACGCGGCGCGCCTTGGCGGCGGCGGCGAGGGTGCGCTGGACGTAGTCGGGCGCGCAGCGGTCAGTGCCCCAGTGCTCTCGGAGCAGCGGCGGGAGAAGCTCCTCCTGCGGAAGGCAGTGATTCAGAATGAGTGCACTTGTGATGACGGTTGGCATAGCGGCGGGAGCAGCTCTTCCTGCTTGGTCAGGTAGGAGCGCAGCTTTGTGAAGAGCGCGTCGACCGTATCGCGAAGCAGCTGCGCCTCCTCCGACCACGGGTCATCCCCCCCCAGCGCCGTGTGCAGCGCCGCTATCTCGCCGAGGATGCGGGGCTCCATGCGCGAGATCGCCAGCAGCGCCGTCTCGACCTCCTTGGCGTGCTCGAGCAGCTCGCGGCGGTGTCCGTCCGGCAGACCCTCGCACGAGGCCGCGAGCCAGTCGTGGTGCACCTCCACCTAGTGATCTCGTGTGGTCTCGTGTGATCTCGTGTGATCTCGTTGCTCATCTCGATCTCGTGCGATCTCGGGTGGCCTCCACCTGCACGCGCTGGTGCTGGGCGACGAGTGCACACCAGCCGTCGAAGAAGCGGAAGAAGCAGTTGACGCGCCAGACCTCGGGCAGGTCGCCAAAGTACTGCGGCGTCAGCACGCGCTGCATCTCGAGCATGTCCCGCCGCAGCGGCTCGTGCGTCAGCAGCAGCGCCTCTGCGGCCCAGTCGAGACCCGCTGCTCCCTCGCTCAGTGTCGCCGACGTGAGCCCTTCACCGGCGTACATGGCGCCGACGACGTCGCCGTCCTCGCCCATGACGGCGACCTCGAACACGTCCTCCTCCTCGTAGGCCGGCGTCGACGGCTCGCGGTATGGGCGCGGCGGTGGCTCCTCGCCGGCCGGAGGCGGAGGACCGCTGGGCGGCGGCGGCGGCGGCGGCCCGCCAGGAGGCGGAGGAGGCGGTCCTCCGGGCGGCGGAGGTCCACCGGGCGGCGAGCTGCGCGGCGACGGAAGGCCAAGCACGTCGTACCCCTGGCTCGCTGGGTTGACGGGCGGCAGCACCGCATTCATCAAATCCTGAGCGCTCTCCACCAGGTTGCCCGTCCGGGGCGAGGCCCGTGCCGAGTTCAGCCGCTGCGTCGGACCTCCCCTGGCGCTGGCGAGTGGAGCGCCCGCGTTCCGCTCGTCCGAGGTGGACGCGTCGAGGTTGAGCTTCGCGACCATGGTTGTTGGAGGGACTGCTGGCCGGCGTCTCGCCGATGACGGACACGCAAATCAAAGAATTTTCGTCGCAAGGCATTTTGGAGCCGCCTCAGTGACTCCTGCGAGAGAGGCGAGGCACTTAGCTCCGTGCACCCGCCCACCCCCGCCACAGGCAAGCTCATTCACAACCTGCTCTGCGATTGCCGTGTGAGAACGACTGAGATACGCTGCTTCTGCAGCCCCAGCCAATTCTTAGTGGTCCAAGTCACCTCATCGAGGTACTGGCTGGGCCCGCGTCAGCTTGTTCTGTAGCACGTCCGCCGCCTTCCGGAGGATCTCACGGACCCCCCTTTCCGAACCCGCCGAACGATTCGAACAGCAGTAGCTGGCATTAAGAAAAGAGGATTGAGCCGCACGCCGCCGTTTCTATGCCTTTCCACAGCCCTCATCCACCCCACGCCGTGGTTTCTTAGCTCCGGCCGGCACTCAGGCCAGAGCCGGCCCTAAGGATTTTAGGCAAGAGGTAAGAGGGGTAAGCTGCGGTCCGCACAAACAAGAGCCGTGGGTTGCGGGCGTCTCTCGCAAGGGCAGACAATGAGAGCAGAAGGCAGACACGTCCCGCACATGTCCCCGTTCACAGTTGAACTAATTCTCACGGCTGTACACTGTTTATTAATCGGCCGTCCGCGAGCCCCTAGCTCGCCGACAGAGATGCCACGAGGGGTCGCGGTGGCGTCCATCGCCAGAGTCCGGAGAGAGAAGCACAAGCAGCGGCAAAAACCGCGCGGGGGCGGGCTCCTGCTTCGCGCGCTCGGTAAGCGCGTTTTGAAAAGCTCTGTGTCTTGAAAAGCGCGCGGGGGGGGGGGGGGGGCGTCTCTTTCCTCATATATCAATCTGTCCGTACGATTCATGTTGATCTCGCTTGACCCCACAAGGGCGTGAACGTGAACGGCGACAGAGAAGGTCTTTTCTCGCAGCTGCGAGACATGCTTTCTCGGAGCGGGGCATCCAAAACAACAGGGCGGAAGGGAGGGGTGACCATACGCGCAGCGCAGGAGGGGTGCCCCTAAGGGGGCACAAAGGTAGCTTAAAGGGGAGTGAACAAGACGCCGCACAGGCGACGCACGCTCGCCGCCTACTCCAGTTGAGGCTGCCCTCGGACCCGAGAAGTGGCGATATGCTGAGCCCGTGCGCCGCCTTGCACGCGCGGGGCCTGTGCAGCTCCGTCTTTGGCGACGCCTGGGCCGAGGTGGCTGCGGCGCTCGGCCGGTCTCCGTGCGGCGGTGGCGAGCCGCCGCGCTGCCGCGCGTGGCAGGTTTTGAACCGCAGGATGGTGTGGGATGTGTGCCGAGTCGCGTGCAAGACAACATGGGACTGCGACGCCACCGGCGGCGCCGCGACGTCGGCGCCGGTGGGAGGCGGGACGGATACGACGGTGGTCCACCTCGCCTTTGCCGCCGACGCCGCCCTCCTCCCGGCCGTCGGAGCAAGCATCGCCTCTGCCGTCGCTTCGAGCCGGCCGTCAACGCGGCTGCACGTGCACCTGGTGACGACGACGGCCTCCCTGCCGGCGGCGCACGCCCTGCGCCGCTGCCTCGCCGCCAGCCTCGCCCAGCATCCGCGCCTCGCGGGCGGGAGGCTCCGCCTGCGCGTGGTCGACTTTGAGACGGCGCCGCGACGCTTCCGAGAGACACTTCCGCGACACTTCCGCGACACTCCTCACCACCCGCCGCCGCCGCGACACCGCCGCCTCCCACGGCACGTCCACGATACGCCCACGACACGTCCACGACACGCCCACGAGCACGACACGCCCAGACACGCCCACGGCACGTCCACGACAGATCCACGACACATCCACGACAGACGACACGCTCAGACACGCCCATGACACATCCACGACACGTCTACCGTCTACCATGACACGCCCTCGACGCGCCCACGACACACGTCCGCTGGTGCGTCCGCAGGCGGCGGTGCGGCGCGGGCTCGCGCGGCTCCTCCCCTCGGACGAGAACCACCCGACCGCTGCCGCGGTCGAGGCGCAGCCGCGCCGCCGGCAGAGCAAAGGCGTCCGCTACGCGCGCGACCTCCGTGCCCGGGAGAACTTCGTCCGCTTCTACCTCGCGGACCTGCTGCCGGCGGTGTGTGGACCGCACGCTCCTGCGGCTCTCGACGCCGTCACTTGGTTCAGCGCAGGGATTGTGTGTCACTCTCACTCACAGGTGGAGCGCACGCTGTGGCTCGACGCCGACACAGTCGTGCGCTGCGACCTCTCCCACCTCTTCGCCGGAGCGGGCGCCGCCCCGTGGCACCTCGAGATCACCCGAGATCACCCGAGATCACCCGAGATCACCCGAGATCACCCGAGATCACCCGAGATCACCCGAGATTGCGTTGAAGGCGCCGCCCCGTGGCATCTCGAGGAGCCAGTCGTCGCCGTGGCGCTGCGCGATGCAGCGAGGTCGGAACTAGGGGGGCCTCAACGAGACCATATCCACCTGGTTCATTGAGGAACCCGTTTCATTCTCTTGCGTGGCATAGGTCGGAGGGGGGCCTCAACCAGACCATCAGCCGCACCCTCCGCCGAGCCGCCGCCGCCGGCTCCGGTCCGCCGGTCCGATCGGACTTTATGCATTAAGAGATGAACGGTTGGCCGTTGACTCCAGATTTATGATGCGTAGGCGCGCCTGCCGGGCCCATCGGCCCTCCGCAGCGCGAGGCGATGCGGCAGTGCGTGCCGCACGCAGGCGGCGCCTTCACTCCTGGACTCGGGTATCCAATCTCGGGTGATCTCGGGTGATCTCGGGTAATCTCGAGAGTGCGTGCCGCACCCGCAGGCAGCGCTTTCAACGCCGGCGTCTCCCTCCTCTGCGAGGGTTGGCGGCGGAGGTCGATGACGAATTCTGACTGAACAACCAGTGCTCAGGCGTCTCCCTCCTCTACTTGGACCGGTGGCGGAAGGCCGGCGCGACGGCAGCCTTCGAGGCGCTGCTCAGCATGCACCGGCAGGACAGCTCCTCGGAGTTGAGGCGCGGGGGTGGAGGAAGCAGAAGGCTGTGAGGGGCGAAAGAGACATCTGCGAATAGGACGCCCTCTGGGATGAGGCGCAGGGGCAGTCGCAGCCGCCAATGCAGCTCCTCGGCTGCGCGTACGGCTTCGCGTCCCTGGGCGCCGGCATGAACTGCGAGGTGGAGACGTGCTGCGGGCTGTACAGCCGGCCCTCAGCACACCCGGGGCGAGCAGCGGCCTTGCCCCCCAAGGACACTGGCACGCGACCTTTCGCGGACCCTTCCCGGTAGGCCCGCCCACGGCGTGCACCCCGGCCCGCCCGAGGGAAGTCGCGCGGGTGGCTGGGCGGCGGCGTCGCTTGCGGCGGCGGCGGGCTCGGGCGCGGGGATGGCTTCGGGCAAGGCGCGCTGGTGCGGCGCGTGCGTGCTGCACTGGAACGGTGCGAAGCCGTGGGTCCTCGCCAACCGCAGCAACGGCAAGCTCTCGGCGAGCCGCGCGGACGCGCAGTCGGAGTGGCTCACCGCGGCCAGGAGTGCAACACACACACACACACAAACACACACACACACGCACGCACGCACTGTCCGACTCCTCTTCACCATGGCGACCTCTGCTCTTGGCCTCTCTCCTTGACCACTTCGACCCTTCTCTCCTTCACACACCTCTCTTCTTCTCAACCCTCTCCATCGCCTCCCTCATTCTGCCTTCGGTTGACTGACTCACAGCGTCTCCCCTCCGCAGGCTGCTCGACGCGCGGCTGCCCGAGTGCGCCGCCCTGCCCAGCTTGGGCAGTGTGCAGGCGGCGGCCGAGCGCAACGCCGCCAGCCGCGACGCGCACCACGAGGACTTCGAGCTCTCGCCAAGATGCAGCCGAGAGATAGAGATGGCACACCACGGACCCTTCTCGGAAGCTTTCCTCTCTAGGACCTCGAGCGGGCGACGGACGCGCTCCTCTCGGCCACCGACCCGGCCGCGCCCATCGACGTGCGCGTGCTCGAGCCGGCGGCGGCCAAGGCGGAGTGGGCGAGCGCGAAGCAGCGGCGGCGGGCAAACGCGAGCCTCTGGCGGCAGGCGAAGAGGGCGGCGAAGCTGCACGCCCGGAGGAAGAAGGCGCGCTCTCGGGGCGGCGGGGGAGGGGACTGAAGAGGGAGGGGGTGAGGCAGGCGGCTGGCTGCCTGGCTCTGGTGGTGCGCGAAAGCGGAGCCGGAGGCGCCAGCACAAGCGGCCGGCGCACAATGACACAGAGCTCTGGTACGTTGGCGCGCGCTGCGCGCATCGTGCAGAGACCCCGCAGGAGGGGAGTGCGTGCACATGTGCATGCGACGAGGGCGTGGAGATGGGAGCGCGCCCGAACATCCCACACGCACTGCCTAAAATCCAACCCACGCGGAGAGACTGTTGGGTAACCCCGGTGCAACTCGCGCCGTGCCCCAAAGAGTGGAGATCTCTGCACTCTCTGAGGTGTCTGGACACTGGAGAGAAAACTCTAGTACTCAGACGTCTAGTCTCTAGTGGGCAGTCTGACCGCTGGGAAGTGGGAAATTAAAATGTATTTCCCACGCCGGGGGGGGGGGGGGGGCGTGGTCACCCGTCGCTCTCAGACGTCACACCCCGCCGAACCGGTGAGCGGTGTGGCGACACTCGCAACACCAACAGACAGATTGTGCAGAACGACACGTGTATCATGGGGAACGCGGTGTGTCTGCGGCGGCGGCCCGCACCACCACCCTTGGCAGCACAAAGCTGCGCCAGAGGTCCACCAGCCCCGGCGCCGCCCCCTCGCCGTCGAAGCGCTCCTCGTCCCACGCGATCAGGTAGCCCAGCCGCATCACCTCGACCGCCCGCTTGCGAGCCGCCTCCGGGAAGAGCTCGTGCGACTGCGGCGACCACTCCGCCACCTTGAGGATGAGCCTGCCCACCTCCACCGCCTCAGCCGCTGGCTCCAGGTTGGCCGGCCTGAGGAAGGGAAGAGGCGTGGGGTGTGTCCAAAGAGAGGATCCGGCGAGTGGGGGAGAGGCCGTAGCGCGCCTCAGTGCGAGGGCCTTGGCCTCGCCCGCCACGCGCACGCCGAAGCGTCCCGTCGAAGCGCTTGCGGAGACGACGACGCCGACCTTGCCGTTCATCGACGGCCGCGAGACCAGAGAGTGGATCGCGACGGTGGAGCCGACGGCCGCAGCTGTCGGATTCGACTCGCCCCACGCGCAGAGGACGCGCGCCCGCTCGAGGGCCGAAGGCTCGCCGGCTGAAGAGTCCGCACCGCCGCGCAGCAGCGACCGCGCCCGGTCGACGGTGAGCGCCTGCGGTAAGAGGGACAATGATAGGACAATGCACTCACGCTTCTTCAGCCGCTAGTCTCGGGCACGCCTCGAGGTGCTGGAGCGGCGTCCAGCTGCGGCTGGCGACCAGCCAGGCGGCGAGGTCGGCGTGGCCGCGGCTGGTTGCAGCCTCCTCGGGCGTGCCGACGGGCGTTGCGGCGCGGCAGGCGCCGTAGGAGGAGAGGAGCTTGGCGACCTCGAGGTGGCCCTTGTGGCACGCCATGACTAGCGGCGTGGCGCCTTGCTCGTCGGTTTGGTTGATCGCCGCGCCGGCCTCGAGGAGCAGCGCGGCGACGTCGAAGTGACCCTGGTGGCACGCGATGTACAGCGGCGTGGCGCCTTGGTTCTGGGCTTGGTTGACCGAAGCGCCGGCCTTGAGGAGCAGCCGGGCGATCTCGAGGCGGCCCTCCCCGCACGCCATGATCAACGGCGTGGCGCCCTCCTCCTGGGCTTGGTTGACTGCCGCGCCAGCCTCGAGGAGCAGCCGGGCGATCTCGAGGTGGCCCTTCTCGCACGCCACGAACAGCGGCGTGATGCCATTCTTCTTGGCTTGGCTGACCGCCGCGCCAGCCTCGAGAAGCAGCCGGACGATGTCGAGGTGGCCCTTCTGGCACGCCATGTACAGCGGCGTGGTGCCGTCGTTGCGGGCTTGGTCGAACGCCGCACCGGTCTCGAGGAGCAGCCAGACGATGTCGACGTGTCCCCCTTGGCACGCAACGAACAGCGGCGTGCTGCCTTGCTTCTCGGCTTGGTTGATCGCTGCGCTGGCCTCGAGTAACAGCCGGACGACCTCGAGGTGGCCCTTCTGGCACGCGACGAGCAGCGGCGTGAAGCCGCCAGCCGCGGCTTGGTTCACCGCCGCGCTGGCCTCGAGGAGCAGCCGGATGATCTCGACGTGGCCCTTCTGGCACGCGACGTACAGCGGCGTGACGCCGTCATCCGTGGCTTGGCTGACCGCCGCGCTGGCCTCGAGGAGCAGCCGGGCGATGTCGACATGGCCCTTCTGGCACGCGATGAGCAGCGGCGTTACGCCTTTCTCTGTTGCTTGGTCGATCGCCGCGCTGGCCTCGAGGAGCAGCCGGACGCACTCGAGCTGCCCCTCCTGGCACGCGACAAACAGCGGAGTGAAGCCGCCATTCACGGCTTGGTTGACTGCCGCGCCAGCCTGCTGGAGCAGCCGGGCGCACTCGAGGTAGCCTTCCAGGCACGCGATGAGCAGCGCGGAAGCGCCGCGGCCGTCAGCCGCCCCGACGCTCGCGCCGGCTTCGAGCAGCAGCCGCACCGCCTCGGCTTGCCCGTGCCGAGAGGCCCAGGTGAGAAGCGTGTCTTGCTTCTCGGTGTCGAGCCGCGCGTCGAGCTGGGCCGTTAGCGACGACTTGCCGCGCGTCCCCCACCCGGAGAGGAAGGCTCGCAGCGCGGCCAGGTCGCCCACCGCCAGATCGAGCAGCAGAGTTGGGCTCAGGCCGCCGCTCATGCCGCCAGAAAGAAGAAAAACTAGCCCCGCCCTTTTCAAACAGCTCATGCTAAGAGCTAGAAGGGGAGCTAGAGAGAACGACTACCCTGTCCCGTTATTGCGTACACCGAAGTACACCAGCACCACAAAAGCTCTACTCAGGGGGGTCACAACTACCGAGTCCCTCGACTAGCATCTAGCTGCCACGAACCCAAAAAGCACGATTCTGAAGTTGGGCCCTCGGTCTTCCCGCTCTCGTCGTTCTCTCTCCTGCCGCTTCATCCTCTCACTATCGCTCTCCTCGGCCCCGTTCTGCGACGGAACACTTGGACGGCAACGCTGAGATTCTTAAATAAATTCTATGGTGTACCTGTGTTAGTGCCAGTGCGCAGTGCGCGCCAGTCCCGTGCCCAGTGTCGTTCGAGGGAGTTTTGCTGTACCTCCTCTGGAAAAAGTTATTTAGGACCACCCCCCTACCGCAATTTTGGGTGTATGTGGCTCTTACGTACATTCCCGGAGGTGAGGACTGCTGACAGGGGTTTGCGATGAGGAGTATTTTATTGTGCTGGACGGCGGACGGTGTGGTTGCTCAGATCACAGATGGCCTTATGACGACCCCATTTCGACATCGTCCCTAAGGCCTCTGCTCATGAGCTCCATGCGGGAATGACTGGCTCAACCAACTGATCACAAATTCTCTCTGCAACATCGAAGTCATCAAATTATGCTGTCACAATGAAGACTTTAGGCGCCTTTTCGAGATATCAAGAGAATTTGTGATCAGTTGGTTGAGCCAGTCATTCCCGCATGGAGCTCATGAGCAGAGGCCTTAGGGACGATGTCGAAATGGGGTCGTCATAAGGCCATCTCAGTGGCTACACGGCCTGCCACGGCGTGTGTGCCACGACTCTGGACGACTCTGAATCGGCGCTTGATGCGGGCATAACTTGCGATCCCGACCTTGCGCGACGTGCCTATTAGTGCATTCTACCATCTACTTGCACCAAGCATGGGCGACGCCTCAGGCCCCATGCCGGCCATCCAAGATATTATGCGTGCGCCAAGGGTTTGCTACCACCTTAAGGAGAGGAGTGTGGTGATAGCTAGCCGCCGCCCACGGGCCCACGGCCTCTTCCTATCTATTTATCTCTCTTCGCAATCTCTCGCCAATTCTCGCAGCAACCTCCATGCCACCTCGCGGTCTTCCACTCTCGTCGTTCTCTCAAGCCGCTAATAAATAAATAAATAAAACGGGCACGCCAAACGAGGGGTGGGAGAAGGACAGGGTCCCCACCTGCACGAGCAGGATCTTGTAAGGAGCTCCATCCTCTACTTACCCGCGCTGTGTTTCTTGAAAGCGCGCCGCCGCGTGTGGTTGGCTGTTTGCTCTTCGCGCACCGAGCTCCTTCTCTCGCGTTCGCTAATAATCACCGACTAGAGCGAGCGCCAAACGGTGACCGTCCATCGATGCTGCTGCTGCTGGCCTTCTTGTCGCCGGCGCTGCGCTGCGCTGCGCTCAGCGCTGACGACGATGATGGCTTCTCCTTCAGCCTTGACGACGTTTTAAATCTTTTCTCCGGCGACGGCATGCATGATTTCTTCTCCGATATCTACGTCGGCGAGCGCTATTACTACGTCGGTAGCAGCGAGCGCCTCCCAAACGGTGACGAGCTTGTCCATGGCCGGCGGGGAAGAGTGATTGGGCTGGCGTCTGACCCTCTCCTGTGGTCCGTGCGATTTCCCGGCAACGAGGCCGACGCTGACGTGCACTTCGGCCTTCTCAGCTCTCGGCCGCCGCCGCCGCTGCACAACGGGTTCTTGGTGGGTGACACTGTTTACTATGCCGGCGCGAGCCACGAGTTTACAAGCGGAGATAGGCTGGAATTCGGTTTGAGAGGCACGGTTGTCGGCCCTGCAAGAGCAGCAGAGGGCCTCACGGTGCTCTTCGACGGCAACAAGGGAAACTCTCAAGTCTTGTTCAAACACACAGCGTTCAGCCGGGAGCCTCCGCACCTGCCTGGCGGCTTTGCACTGGACGAAGAGCTCTATTACAACGGCACAGGTAAGAAATTTGATAATGGCGACCGGCTCGTTTACGGCTGGAGAGGACGCGTCGCTGGCCAAGCGGCTGGTGATCTCGCCCGCACGGCCGTCGCAATGCGTTTCGCCCACAACCAGCTCACCATAGGCTGCTACCTACGCAATCTCACGCGAGATCCGCCTCCACCTCTACCTGGCGGGTTTGCGCCGGACGACCTCGTGTACTACAATGGCTCCTCATACTCCTTCGACAACGGAGATGTGTTGATATTCGGAGAGAGAGGCACGGTTGTCGGCCCTCCTACTCTTGCATCGCACGCAGAGGGCCTCACGGTGCTCTTCGACGGCAACAAGAGAGACTATCAACTCTTTCTCAACCAGCTCAGCCGGGAGCCTTTGCCCTCCCTCCCCTCCGGCGAGTACACATGGCATATCCCGGGCTTCTCAAAGATCGAGGAGACGAAGCTCTACTCTCCTACCTTCCAGGCCGGAGCATTCAACTGGTGCGACGCACCCCGAATTCCCTTGGCCGCCTCGAGGATGGGACGCTCCTGGGGCGTGCCACTCCCCACGTCTCACGCCTATATTGCCGCAGGACACTTCTTCTCTACCCGAAGGGCGACGATCAGCAGGGGCAGCTCTCGCTCTACCTCAGCGCGGCCGGCTCGGCGACGCTGCCGGAGGGCTGGGCGCGGCATGCGTCCTTCACGCTGACGGTGAAGAACCACCTCGAGGTGGCCACACGCAGTGTTATGAAACGAGCGCAGCGGAACGGCGCCAACAACCAGACCAGAGTAGGATGATACTAACGGAGCTCTGCCGCGCGTATAGGTGCCAATCTTGATCGATTCGACTCACAATCGATTAGTTGGGGCTGGCTTGGCATGGTGTCGCTGAAAGACGTGATTTCCTCCGGCTTCTTGCTCGACGATGAGCTAGTCGTCTCCGCCAAGGTGCGCCTCGCGCCATCGCCGCAGCTGAGGCTCCATTCGGTTGGCGACCGTCTTTACTACAACGGGACAAGCCGGACCGTTGAGAGCGGCACGCGTCTGACTCATGGCGCGCTCGGCGTGGTCGCCGGGCCGGGCGAAGGCGAGTATTGGGGAGAGGGCCTGCAGCTGCGCTTTGGGGGAGGCGAGAGCGTCAGCTGCTACCTCGGCACGCTCAGCCGCGAGCGACCTCCGCCTCTACCTGGTGGGTTCGCGTTGGACGAAGAGCTCTATTATAACGGCACAGGCACGAAATTTGATAATGGCGACCGGCTCGTTTACGGCTGGAGAGGACGCGTCGCTGGCCAAGCGGCTGGTGATCTCGCCCGCACGGCCGTCGCAATGCGTTTCGCCCACAACCAGCTCACCATAGGCTGCTACCTACGCAATCTCACGCGAGATCCGCCTCCACCTCTACCTGGCGGGTTTGCGCCGGACGACCTCGTGTACTACAATGGCTCCTCATACTCCTTCGACAACGGAGATGTGTTGATATTCGGAGAGAGAGGCACGGTTGTCGGCCCTCCTACTCTTGCATCGCACGCAGAGGGCCTCACGGTGCTCTTCGACGGCAACAAGAGAGACTATCAACTCTTACTCAACCAGCTCAGCCGGGAGCCTTTGCCCTCCCTCCCCTCCGGCGAGTACACATGGCATATCCCGGGCTTCTCAAAGATCGAGGAGACGAAGCTCTACTCTCCTACCTTCCAGGCCGGAGCATTCAACTGGTGCGACGCACCCCAAATTCCCTTGGCCGCCTCGAGGATGGGACGCTCCGTGCCACTCCCCACGTCTCACGCCTATATTGCCGCAGGACACTTCTTCTCTACCCGAAGGGCGCCAATCAGCAGGGGCAGCTCTCGCTCTACCTCAGCGCGGCCGGCTCGGCGACGCTGCCGGAGGGCTGGGCGCGGCATGCGTCCTTCACGCTGACGGTGAAGAACCACCTCGAGGTGGCCACACGCAGTGTTATGAAACGAGCGCAGCGGAACGGCGCCAACAACCAGACCAGAGTAGGATGATACTAACGGAGCTCTGCCGCGCGTATAGGTGCCAATCTTGATCGATTCGACTCACAATCGACCAATTATGGCTGGCAAAAAATGGTGTCGCTGAAAGACGTGATTTCCTCCGGCTTCTTGCTCGACGATGAGCTAGTCGTCTCCGCCAAGGTGCGCCTCGCGCCATCGCCGCAGCTGAGGCTCCATTCGGTTGGCGACCGTCTTTACTACAACGGGACAAGCCGGACCGTTGAGAGCGGCACGCGTCTGACTCATGGCGCGCTCGGCGTGGTCGCCGGGCCGGGCGAAGGCGAGTATTGGGGAGAGGGCCTGCAGCTGCGCTTTGGGGGAGGCGAGAGCGTCAGCTGCTACCTCGGCACGCTCAGCCGCGAGCGACCTCCGCCTCTACCTGGTGGGTTCGCGTTGGACGACACCGTGTACTTCAGCGGCAATAGCCAAGGGTTTACAAGCGGAGACAGGCTGGAATTCGGTTTGAGAGGCACAGTTGTCGGCCCTACAAGAGCAGCAGAGGGCCTCACGGTGCTCTTCGACGGCAACAAGGGAACCGTTCAAGTCGTACTCAACCAGCTCAGCCGGGAGCCCCCGCAGCTGCCCGGCGGGTACAATGTCGGCGATCACGTCTACTTTTCTGGGAGAAGCGAGTTTTTCGACGACGGGGACAGAGCTGGTGCCCCCCCCCCCCCCCCCCCAAAAACACCCACCCACCCACCAACACACACACACACACACAACGCCCCGAGGGCCACCTTGACCGCACGCCTTGGCCCTGTCAGGTGCACGGCCAGCGCGGCGTGGTCACTGGGCGCGTCGTCGGGGAGGATGGCGAGGTCGCGGTGAAGTTCCCTGGCAACACTGAGAGCATCGATTGCTATCTCTCCGAGCTCAGCCCGGACCGGCCGCCGCCCCTGCCGGGGGGCTACTCGGTGGGCGAGCAGGTCTACTACACGGGTGGCGCGGAGAAGAAGAAGAATGGGGACCGCCTCGTGTATGGAGCGCGCGCCGAGGTTGCCGGGCCCGCTGGCGGCGACGACTACGCCGGGAAGGGGCTCGCCCTCCTGTTCAACGGCAACAAGAAGAGCTACGACAGCCTTCTCACCACCCTCACCCGGGACCCGCCCAGGCTGCCGGACAGGCACCGCCGCGGCGATCGGCGGTACTGCCGCGAGGAAGGGTTCTCACGGGACGAGCCCGGCGAGGTGGCTGGTCCTGCAATGGACGAGCACGTCGGCAAGGTGCCCTAGATGCGGAACACAGGCCCCGGTCGTCTTCTGACCAGGGCTCGAGAGGGCACGTGTTGAGCATGCGTAGCCCTGGAGGTCCAGCGAGGCCCGGAATACACTGCAGAGTACCGCACACTCACACCCTGGCGCTGGTGTCCGCTCACTAGGCAAGGGGCTCCAGCTGCGCTTCGCGGATGGTGTGCTCCGGGACTGCCGCTTGGAGGATCTCAGCGAGCAGCGACCGGCGGTCGATGCCTGGGAATCGCCACTTTTGGAGTCGATGCTTGCCCACTTCGACACTTTGACTTCCTTAGCCGCCCTCGTCACTTCGATCTGTCTAGCATTGCTGCCCCTGTGGCGTCTGATTCCGCGACGGCTGCTTCGCCTCTTCCGGCGGCGGCTGATACCGCAGGCCGACGGGCAGGCGGTTCGTGAGAGCTGGAGGCAAGTCTGCGTGCGCGTCGTCGGCGGGCTCGTGGGCGCGGCTTCCGCTCTGGTGGCGGCTGCCCTCCTCGCCTCTAGCGCTGCTGTGCTCGCCTGGCTGAATGCGGCGCGGCGGCGGGTCTTTCTGGCCCGTGGGCGGGAGCGTGTGGCGTTCGATCTCGTGGCAGAGGAGCAGGCGAGAGAGATCGCCCTGGATCACTCGAGATCTCCCGAGATCTCCCGAGATCTCCCGAGATCGGCCTGGATCACTCGAGATCACTCGAGATCACTCGAGATCACTCGAGATCACTCGAGATCACTCGAGATCACTCGAGATCACTCGAGATCACCCCCGACACTAGGCGGAGCTCGTGGTGGCGGGGGCGCACGCGCGCCGCGAAGCGGAGAGGCTCACGCCGCGCCGCCGCGCAAACGCCGCGCGGGCTACGACTCCGCGGCGCGCGCGCGAGGCTGCCCCGCCTGCGCCCGAGGAGGAGGCGCCTCCGGGAAGGCGCCGCCGCGCCGAGCGGGCGAGGGAGGAGGAGGCGGCCGCCGCGCGGCGCGAGGCGGAGCGGCGGCGGCAGGAGGAGGAGGAGGAGAAGGAGCGGGAGGCGCGGCGGGAGGCGCTGCTCGCGCGGCCGCTCGAGGCGGAGATGGGCCGAGATCGCACCCGAGATCGTCCGAGATTAGGCCGCCGCAGACGCCGAGGCGGAGCGCGCGAGCAAGAAGGAGGAGGCGGTCGACGCGGCTGCGCTGCGGCGAGCACAGGCCGTGCTGGAGGCAGAGCGGCTCGCGTGGGCGCCGCCGTCGCCGCGCGCCGACTGCAGTGACGGCAGCCGCGGTCGAAGCAGCGGCGGCGGCAGCAACGGTGGCGCAGCTCGGCGCGCGGGGCGTGGCGCCAGTGCCAGCATCAGTGCCAGTGCTAGCACCAGTGAGGGCGGGCGGCGCGCCCCGCCGTCCAAGGACGAGGGGCGGGCCCTCGCCGAGCTGCTCTGGGAGTACGACCATGACGCCTTTGCCTGCGGCGCGTCGGCGGAGGGGGCGGCGTCGCTCGCAGCAGCAGCCAGAGTGGAGGTGGAGAGGAGCGCAGAGGCGGACAAGGCGGCCCGGGCGGCCGAGGCTGGGGCGGAGAGGGCGAGGGCGGCATCTCCGTCCGCCAAGGAGAGGCCAGCGGCGCAGGCGACGCAGGCGGCGGCGGAGGGCGCACGCGGGGCCGCAGAGGCGGGGGAGGAGGAGGAGGCGAGGGCGGAGGCGCTTCAGAGGACGCAGCGCTCGTGCGAGGCGGAGGAGCGCAGCGATGAGTCCGCCGTCGCTCCAGCGCCCACCTTCCGCTCCAGGGTCAGGCTGCTCCAGGACGCGCTCGGCCTGCCTGCGGACGAGGTGTCTCGCCTAGACACCTCCTAGACACTTCCTAGACACCTCCTAGAGACGCTCGGCCTGCCTGCGGACACCTCGTCCAGGCGGCGATGAGCTGTGAACAGCGTCGCTTCACGGCGCTGCTGGTGTGAGAACAGGGGATTGGGATGACGCTGCGGCGCGCGCACGCGACGCTCGGCGTCGAGCCCACGGCGGGCGGGATGCCGGCGCAGGCCGCTTGAGGAGGGGCTCGTCCGAGCCGAACCTCTCCCCTCTCGCGGTGACGGTGTGCCGCGTGCCCGCCCTCTGCAGGCAGCTCAGCTCCTCGACATCATTCGTTTGCGCTCCGAGGCGGCGGTGGAGCAAGCCGGGAGGGCGGCGCCGGACGCCGGGCCAAAGGCGGAGGAGGAGGGGGACACGGCGGGCGGCGGCCGCGGCGCGCTTGGCGGGGGGGAGGTGGAGAACGGCGTCGCCGAGGGGGTGCAGGGCGGCGAGGCGGCGGCGGCGGGCGGAGGCGGCAGAGGCGGCGGAGGCGGCGGAGGCAGCAGAGGTGGCAGCGGTGGCGGTGGTGGAGGCGGTGGAGGCAGTGGAGGCGGCGGCGGCGGCAGCGGAGAAGGGATCTCGCAGATGGAGGCCTTCTTGGCGAGTGCAAAGCTGACCCGGCGGCCCGGGCTTGCCGAGGCGCGGGGGACTTGGCCCCACGCCGCGCTGCGTGTGGAGAATCTGGCCACTTACAGCCGCTCACGTTGCCACAGGTGCTGCGCGAGGCTGGCTACGAGGAGGTGGCCGATCTCGAGGATGCTTCCGATGCAGAGCTCTTGCAGCTTGGGCTCAGGAATGTCGAGTGCCGGCGGCTGCGTCGCTACCTTGCAGCGCCCGAGCAGAACCGCCCCCCGTGAGGCTTGTCGCTTGAGCTGCACGTGCAATCGGGTCATCTTGCGGCAGCCGGCACGTACGGCTCTATTCTCCCTCAAGAATCATTTTTATATACGTAGTGATTAAGGTAGGTAAGGTAAGGTAAACTTCTCTCCACACACACTCTGACTCCGACCCCAGGGCCTAGGCGGCCCCGCCATGAAATCTAGCCGTGTGTGCTGGCGTCCGGGTCCCAGCGGGTTTTCACGTAACAAGTGCCAATCCTCCTGACATCCACTGCATGTGAGCGACGGCCTGCCGCCGCCGCCGCCGCCGCCCCTTCCGTCCTTCCCACCCGGCAGCGGCGCTCCCGACTTTCATCGGTGCACTCCCGGCACTCTCCAGCCGGCAGCCTCCCTTGCTCTCTCTCTCTCTCCGGCCGGGGCGCGCGCGCGGGGGCGGCGGGCTCGAGGCGGCAGGTGAGTGTGCGGGATGTGTGTGGGCCCGAGTGGGGATGTGCCGAGGCTGCCTGGGCAGGGACCGGGCCTGTAGCTCGCGGCATGGGTCACAGAGCCATCTGGCCGTACCATCGCTCCCGCCAACGACGTCTGGCCTGGGCCTCGCCACTCGCAGCAACCCCAGCTGGCGTGGTGCGGGTGACAACCCAAGTGGCCCTTCGTGACATCCGCTTGCCAAGGCATTGTGAAGGCAGCTGGATGAAGCTGGCGTTGTCGGCAAGCTCCGCAGCTCTTGCGTGCGACGAGTGCACATAAAGGGTCCTGGTTCTCAGAAGTTGAAGCGGATGCCCCTCCGCAAGAGCAGGAGACGGCCGCGGCGCGAGCGATGTGGTGGGGCCCGACTCGTGCGGCGGCTTCGACGCTCTTTTGTGCGACAATTCTGGCGCCAGGCGGCAGCTGCAGCTACTGACCATCGCCACTCCCCGCCGCTAGCCGCCGCGCGCGCGCCTGAGCGGCGAGCTCCTGAGCCCGTTGCCTCCGCCGGACGCTCTCTGCCTGCATGGCGCTCAGCTGGTCTTCGAGGCCCGCAGCCACGCCGCCCTCTCCGCTGATCACCGCCGCAGAAAATTTTTCGCCGAGCGCCTTCAGACCGTCCACCGAGCCGGCGCCAGGCGTCGCCTCGCCGAGCGATTTGGCCGTCTGCAGCAACCTCTCCATCTCGTCGATGAGCTTCTTCTTCCTGTCATAAAGCATGGTGTGGCCGCGCGGCGTGTTTGCGGTGCGGCCTGATAGCGTGTCGAGCTGCTTCTGCAGCTCGCTGTACCGGTCGAACGCCTCCTGGATCTGCTGCTGCTTGAGCGCCATGTCGGCGAGCTCGTCTCCAACCTCATTAATCTTGCTGTCCTCGGCGTCCGCCTCTTGCTGCTTCTTCTTGCGGCGCCGTCTCGCACTCTTGGTCTCGGCTGCGTCTGCGTCCAGCATCGTCACTGAATGCCGACGACCGGGCGGCAGCACAGCGTGCGCCTCTCGAAAAAGAATTCATCAAAAAGAACTCTCCCGCGCAGCACACAGGTTCGACACAGGAAAAGAATCTTACCAAAAACTTGCTCGCACAACACTGGGCACGGGACTGGCGCGCACTGGCACTAACACAGGTACACGCTCGAAAAAGAATTTAAACAGCAGTCCCTCTCACAGCACACCGGCTCGACACAGGTGCGAACTGGCGCGTGCTAGTACTATCACCGGCACACCACCGGAGCCGCCTAAGCGACTCCGTTAAGAGCGGCAATGCACTTAGCACCGTGCACAATGCCGCTGTCCCCGCACGCTAGCTCGTTCACCGTCTGCCACGCCACGGCGGTGTGGAGAACGACAGACAAGCGCTGCATCTGCAGCCCGTGCCAGTTCTTGGTGGTCCATGTGACCTCATCGAGGTGCTGAGCGTGCGAAAAAGAATTGGCGCGTGCGACAGTGGCACGGGACTGGTGCGCTCCCATCCCTCCCTTGGGTTAGCTGTTTTCTTTCTTTCTTTCTGGTGCGCACTGGCACTAACGTTCAGCGAAAAAGAATGTCAGGCTGAACTCCTCGACTGCACTCCGCAAGTGCTCCAAGAGCAAGACCAAGTGCCAAGCCTTTGTCACAGCAAACTGGCACGACAAGAATTGACGAACAAGAAAACGGAGCAAGAAGGAGGACTTAAACCCCAGCGGCTCACCCTCTGAGAAGGCGGCTCACCCGGAACAGGTCCCAGTGGCAGTGTGGAGCAGTCGCCTGCATGTCGAGTCTCGAAATCCGTCTACTCCTCGTCGCGCTTGCGCTTGCGGCCCGGCTCCTCCTCCGCCGGGTCGACGCCCGCGCAATGCATGTGGAACTTGACGAGGGACTCGGGCGCGAGCGCCGCAAAGTCGGCGCGAGTGACCACTGCGCGAGAACGGGGGACGAGGTGTGATGCGCATTCGCGTGTCTGCGCGCGGGAAGGGAGGGTGAGCTTCACCTCGCGCCATGTTTGCCTTCATGAAGGCGAGGCAGTTGCGCTCGAGCTCGGTGGCGCCGTAGACGTGCGCGAGGCTGAGGAGCGAGCACGCCATCTCGCAGGACAGCTTGTCGCACAGCTGCCCCTCCGCCCAGCGCAGCAGCCGCAGCACGCCGTACTTGTGCGCGGCGGCGAGCACCGCCTGCAGCTGCGCGATGCTCTGCTCCGCCTCGCTGCCAGAGGCGCTGCTTGAGGCGGCGGCGGCCGAGGAGCCCCCCGAGGAGGGCGAGGCGCCCCCCGAGGAGGAGGAGGAGGAGGAGCTGCCGCGCTCCTCGCGCAGCACCTTTTGCACCTCGTCAAAGTCGTCCGTGTACAGAAAGTGAAGCAGCGCCTTGAGCGCGGGTGGCGGCACGTCCGTCACCGTGAGCGTGCGCGTGGCGCTCTCGCGCATCTCGTGCGAAAACGCGGCCGCGAAGACGTCGCTGCGCTGGCTGAGGATGCCCGTGTGCGCGCTGAAGGTCACGGGCGCCGCCTCGCCGTTGCAGGTCGCCTCGATGGTGACGTCGGAGTGGCGCCCCTCGGTGAGGAGGGAGAGGAGGTCGGCCTGCAACGTCGAGGGCGGCACCTGTTCGCAAGCAGCTGCAGTGTGTGGAGAGAGGAGGGAGAGGAGGTCGCCCTTGAGCGTCGGGGGCGGCACCTCGACCGACGGCGGCTTGTGCTCGTAGACGACGTCCGTCTTCCCCACGCGGATCTGCGAGCTGCTGTCGGGGTGTTGCATCATGACCGCCTCCTCGATGCAAACCTTGAAGCAGATCGCGTCGTCCGTGACCCACTCGCTGCCTGGGGAGGGTTAGGGTTGGGGTCGGGGTGAGGGTGAGGGTGGGGGTGAGCGCGAGGGCAAGGGCAGGATTAGGGCTGCCGAGAAGCGCGTCGAAGGAAAGGCCGAAGAGCCCCTTCGACTCCGTCTCCAGGTCGGGACCGCCAACGAAGGACTCGATGTCGTCGGCGGAATCGAGAGCGGCGACGGCCACGCGCGTCGGCTCCCCCAGCGGCTGGAACTCTCCGCTCGCGTCCCGCAAAAAGAAGCGGTAGCAGAGGCTGGTCCCGTAGGAGTCCGCGCGGCGAATGAGCGCAAGGGTGCCGGCGAGATCGTCATCAAAGTACATGAAGTCGTCGTCCGCGTCGTGCTTGAGGCTGCCGCCGCGCGGGCTGAAGACGAGCATGTACTTTGAGGAGGCGTCCGAGGCATCAACGTCAAAAACATTGCTGTTGGTGCACGCGCGACCCTCCTGCGTTAGCTTCTGCTCGATCCAGGACAGGCCCTGCACCTCCCAGATGAATTCGCGCTTCACCACGTCGCTCGCATACGAGATGGTGGATTTGGCCAGAGAGGAGGATGGGGCGCGCTTCTTCTTCGTAGGCGGCAGGAGAGAGAGATCGTCAGGTGCCCCGGGACCCGATGCGACGTCGGCATCGATTTTACGGCGGTAGCTTTGCTTGTGGCGGACGAGAGCACCAAAATTAGCGACCATCGACCTCTTCTCGTCCAACTCGCGCCGCAGTCGCTGCCGCTCCGACGCCTCTGCGATGTCGCGATCGGCGGTCACGGCCTCCTCCTGGAGTGTGCCTATCATGGCGACCTGCTCCGCGATTCGCGCGCGGATCTCCGCTGCGGTGAGGTGCTCGTCGTCGACGTCGGCCATTGCAGTTGGGCTGCTGCTGCTGCTGCTGCTGCGCTGGCCGTCCAGAAAGAAAAAATGATTTTTTTTTCGTTTTCTTCGAGGCCAGAAACAAGAAATCATGCCGCATCCTCCCGTCGTGGGGGGCGCGCCCCCCAGCTTTGCCGGACGCGCTAGCCAAAGTGGACCGCTTGCCCTGATGGAGTGCCCGTGGGTCGCCCGCGCACGCGCTCCCTGTGTCGCGGAGGACGAGGATCAGATCACGCTGGCCAAGGGCGACCGCGTGCGTGTCGAGCGCCACTGTCCGGAGTCGCAGACGGCGTTTGTGGCCTTCTCGTGCGCCGCCGGGATCATCCGCGGCCTCGTCCCGCTCTCGCTCCTGGAGCCCGTCGACGCTGAGGAAGGAGCGAGCGAGGGCGAGCCCAGCCAGGGAGGCGTGGACGACGAGCTCGACATGTTCCGCGCCCAGCTTGGCCACGGCGAGCTGCAGACGACGCGAGCCGCCGACAGCGACGACGAGGTGGACGACGACTTTGAAGAGCTCATCAAGGACGTCGAGGACGCTCGGGAAGACGCGGTCGCGGTCGAGCAGACGCCGAGCAGAGCCGCTGCCTCTGACGCCAGCGGTGGCGACGAGCGCGGTCGAGGCTGGTCGCGGCCGCCCTTTTGGCTGATGGAGCGCATTGCGCTGGTGTGCGACGGCGACCCTTCCGGCCTCGCGTGGTGCGCGACGTGCAAGCACGCGCGGAGCTCGCGCCCGCCGCTGCGCGTCCTCGCGATCGGCGACTTTTGGGAGGGGACCTCCGTGGGACCAGCGGCAACCTTTCCGAAAGCCGCCGACCTCTTCTGCGTCCGGCTGTCGGCCTGGAGCGGCGCCTTGGCGGACGAGACCCTCGCCCGGGTGTCGGCGACGCACGCGGCGGAGGTGACGCACCTCTTCGTCAAGGTGTCGCATTGCGCGGGCGGCGCGGCGACCGAGAGCGGCGCCAGCGACGCGCGGCCGCCTGAGCCCGATGCCGGCGCCGGCGCTTCCTCCGGCGGCTGGGCGCATCAACGGGCGGCCGCTGCGGCGCCGCGGCCATCAGACGCCGGCCTCGCGAAGTTCTCCTCGCTGCGGGCGCTGCACATCCAGCACCTCTCCAGCTACGACCGGCGCGCGGGGGGGAGCACGTCGCGGCTCATCGAGGCGGCGAAAGGCACGCTGCGCACGCTGTGTGTCGAGAGCAAGCACTGGCTGCACGAAGAGGCGATCCCCGCCCTGCAGTCGCTCGGGCGGCTGGAGCACCTGGCGCTCGTGCTCCTCCCAAACACCACGAGGGTCATCTTCGAGAGCGGCAGCCCCGCCGCCACGGCCGCGCTGCAGCGCGCCGCCGCCGCCGCGTGCCCCTCGCTCGTGTCACACGCGCGGATCTGCTGCCACCGGCCCGCTCTGACGGGCGCGGAGGTGACCGGCTGGTACCGCTCCATCCGACCAGATGCGAAGTGGTACGCGGCGGCATTCGCCGTTCGGAGAGCCGCATAGGCTCGCTTGCAGAGCTCGCTCTTAGCCTCACCTCTCAGAGGAGCAGCTCTCAGTGCACACAGCGTTGGAGAGAGAGAGATGTTTAGCAATACCAAACAACTCTAACACTCACACGTCATTTTGTTTGCAGCGTTGGTCTCCAGAGAGAGACAGAGAGAGCAGAGTTAGGAACTGAGGAATAAAAAGAAAATAATTTTTTTCCAGAGAAGAGCGTGGGCGGGCGGGGTGATGTCGGTGTTTGTTTTGTTGCTCGTGTGTGAGAACTTGTGAGAGAGATTTTTAGCAATACCGTGTTTTTGAACTTGTGTGTGAGAACTTGTTACGTGAAACCCCACTTTGGGACCGACCTAATGAGCGGCGTCCCAACCCAGCTCGCCGACCTGGCTCGGGGCGACCTGGCCTGGCTGCGCACCGTCCTCTCCGGGCGGCGGACGCGCACGTCGCTCGCGGCCCGGCTCGACGCGCGGCTCGACACCGAGAGGCGGGACACGCTGCTCACCTGGGCCGCTCGTCACGGGCAGGCCGAGGCGGCGCGGCTGCTGCTCGAAGCCGGCGCGAGCGTCGGGGCGACAACTGGCAGCGGCGCTTCCGCGCTGTTCATCGCGAGCCAGCAGGGCCACCTTGACTGCGCCCGGCTGCTCCTCGAGGTTGGCGCGGCGACCGACCAAGCCCAGCCGAACGGCGCCACGCCGCTGCTCGTCGCGTGCGAGAAGGGCCACCTCGAGATCTCCAGGCTGCTGCGCGACGCTGGCGCTGGCATCAACCAAGCGATGAACGATGGCGCCACGCCGCTGTACATGGCGTGCCAGAACGGCCACGTCGAGATCGCCCGGCTGCTGCGCGACGCTGGCGCGGCGGTCAACCAAGCCTGCAATGACGGCACCACGCCGCTGTACATCGCGTGCGAGAACGGCCACCTCGAGAGCGCCCAGCTGCTGCGCGAAGCTGGCGCTGACATCAACCAAGCCTGCAACGACGGCGTCACGCCGCTGTTCGTCGCGTGCCAGTACGGCCACCTCGAGTGCGCCCTGCTGCTGCGCGACGCTGGCGCTGACATCAACCAAGCGATGAACAATGGTACCACACCGCTGCTTATCGCGAGCGAGAAGGGCCACCCCGAGATCGTCCAGCTGCTCCTCGAGGTTGGCGCGGCGGTCAACCAAGCCAACAAGAACGGCTTCACGCCGCTGTTCATGGCGTGCCAGAACGGCCACCCCGAGAGCGCCCAGCTGCTCCTCGAGGCCGGCGCTTCGGTCAACCAAGCCATGCATGACGGCTCCACGCCGCTGTGCATCGCGTGCCAGGAGAGCCACGTCGACATCGTCCGGCTGCTCCTCGAGGCCGGCGCGGCGATCAACCAAGCCAAGCAGAATGGCGCCAAGCCGCTGTTCGCTGCGTGCCACGAGGGCCACCTCGAGGTCGCCAAGCTCCTCTCCTCCTACGGCGCCTCCCGCGCCGCGGTGCCGCCCTTCGGCACGCCTGAGGAGATCGCAAACCTCTTTGAACACGCCGACCTCGCCGCCTGGCTGGTCGCCAGCCGCGGCTGGACGCCGCTCGCGCACCTTGAGACCCTCACCGCCGCCCGCGCCACCTCCCTGCTGCGCAGCGGCGCAAGCCTGCACGAGGGTGAGCCGACGCCGCTGCAGCGCGCCGCGGGCGGCGAGGGCGAGGCGGCGGCGCTGATCCGGCGGGCGGCGGCGCCGTGGTCGCCGGCAAGCCACTCGCTCTTCCCCGCGGCGGCCCGCGCGCGGGCGGCGCTCCTCGTCCGCTCGATCTACGAGATCCACGAGCGGTTCCACCTCGACTCGGCTGGAGCCACGAACGGCATCGCGGCGCTCGACTTTGGCCACTGCGTCTTGGGCTTCGCCATCGCGCGCGAGACGGAGTAGGCCGGAGCCGCGGTGAGAGTCTTTGCCTCGGCTCCGACCATGGTCGTGGCTCGTGCTGCTTGCTGTCTGGGGTCCGGAACCGCTGTTTGGATTGGGAGAGTGCGCATATGTTTTCGCGGGGGGGGGGGGGGGGGGGGGAGACAAACCCCCCAGATGGTGCATGCCGACGGGGGAGATATTGTAACTCGAAATGCCACGACACACACCCGGGGGATGACACATATTCCAGGGGTCTGGCTCTGGTACGGCTCTACTCCGGAGAGACTATCTCTCTAGCCCAGAGGAGATACTGCCTGAGTGCCTGCGTGCGGGACTGCGACAGCGAGACCGAGCGAGCTCCTATTGAGCTCCTTTTACAGCTTCATTCTTCCGGCATAAAGGGTGTGCGTGTGGATGCTGGGTTGAACAAAATCGGGGGACGCGACCCACCGACCCACCTCGCCGCAGACGGTCCCGCGCCTCAGTCGCCGCTAAGTTTGCGGCACGCCCCGCACCGTCCGCTGTGCCGCGTTTTTTGTCCGGAGTGAAAAGTCCAACGCGCTCGTCGGTGACGGTGTCCCCCAACCTGCGCCGCGCTCGGCGAACCTCGACAGCGCTTTCGGTGGCATGCAGCTCTTTGCGACAGAAGCCTGGAGAGCAGCTCCTCTGCTGCTCACACACTCTGCACAGCTGACACAGCCTACTGTGCGGCTGCCACAGCTGTGACAGCGATGGGCTCGCCCTCACTGGCCCTCAGTCACTTGTGCTGCGGCTTGTGTGAGCGACAGTCTCTTGCTTCCGCACGTCGGTGTGCTTGGCGACCGCCTGGCTCAAGGGTGAAGGGGGGGGGGGGGGGTTGGTGCGGGAGGGGGGGGGTTTAACGGGGGGAGCAAAGGAGCTCGATTGGCGACAAATGTGGGCCTCGCTTTTTTTCGGCTCCCCACCCCGGAGCTTTGTGGTGGCCCCCAGCCGCACCGGCCGAGGCCGGGCGATGTGGCTTGTTGCACGAGTATATGACAAAAGCGTCGAAATGTCCCAAAAAGCGTGTCGCGAGTTTGTTGCAGCCCCACAGCCGGCGCGCGCTGCCAGGACGCACCGCTCGCGTGTCGGCCGCACTCCCTGGCACCCAGGGAGTGCGGCCGACCGACCAGACCGAGTAGGCTCGACGCCGCGCTCGCTGTGGAGCTGCAACAAACTCGCCGCCGAGCGTGCCACCGAAGGCGTCCCGTCGGAGGTGATAAAGTGTGAGACCTGAGGCTGCGGAGGTGACGCCTGAGGTACCGGCCCGTGCACAGCGACTCAGCCGGCGACCGCCACGGGCTCAGACGAGACTTGTCGACTCGTTCCGGCTCAGCTTCACCGTGGTCATCGGGCGTCTGTCGACGTCAGGACCACCCATACAGCTCGCGGGTTTGAGGTCGCAAGAGCCAAGATGGTGGCGTTTGGACATCCCAACCATCACACAAGACAGCCTGTAGGTGATGGCGGGACGGCGCAGTGTTTGTGGCACTCGGCAGTAGGCACCCGCGGCACGGCCCCGCTGTCGGCTCTCGCGGGCTGCGGAACCGGCCCCAGAAGGGGACGGTCCGGGCGAGTGTGGCAGCTCCTGCGCTAGTATGGGCACCCTCTATCACAACACTACTGATCCTGGTCATTAGAGCTGCCAGGGATAGCGTCAGGAGCCGGTAGGAGTCAAAACCTCTCATATTTGAGACACATCGTGTCCCATATACTCGTGCAACAAGCCATGTGTGCGCGTGCTGGGAGTGCCATGGCGACCCACGCATCGATGATCGAGCGTGCTTAGACCGTGATATACAGGTCCCAAGTGACGGACGGCGTTTCGGCGTTCGGCGAGCGGTCCGCAAAACCAAAAAACTCGTCGCCTCCGCACGGGGGGTCCCGGCCGACGTCATGCGCGTCCGGACGCGGCCCTCCGTACACGGAAACAGGATACTGAAGGCATTCCCGAACTCAAAACAGGATACTGAGGGCAGATATGAGCTCAGCTCAGTGAGATCTAGCTGCACATACCCTTAGTATCCAGAATAGTCCAGTCTGAAAAAAGTCGGTCCGACCGCGCGGAGCCGTCTGGCTCTCTGCAGAGCCCCCGCGGGCACGCCTGGTCCGCGGCGGCGAGGAGGGAGCGAGCGCCGAGAGCAGCGTCAATCCTGTGTGCGAGGGGGAGGGGAAGACACTTATGCTAGTAGGTCAGGGAGGTGTAGATGGTCGGGCTCAACCACCTGCACTCGGATGAGCCGCAGCCTAATCTCCGCCGTCGCTGCAGCAGGCAGCAGCTTGCCAAAGGAGCCGCCGGTCGTCGACTTACCGTTGACCTCGGCGATGAAGTCGCCCACGCAAAGACCGGCGGTGTCGCCAGCGCCTCCCTCGACCACGTTGGTAATTTGGTGGTTGTTGGGGTCGACAGAGATTCCAAGCGTCCCGCCCTTGCGTTCAGGGCGCGCTTCTTCGCGCCAGAGGAGCCGCCAGCCTCGTCGTCGGCGGTACTCCGCGCCCGCTTGCGGTGGGGAGCAGAGTCCGCGGCCGGCGTGATCAGTTTAAGCGCCTCGTCAAACTTCCAGCCGGCCTGTTGATCGCGCGGCACGTAGACTCCTTCGTCGGAGGGGAGGTTGAGGTCGAGGAGGCCGAGCACCGACTCCATGTGGTATGGGGCGGAATCGTCGACGTTGTACTTGAAGGTGTAGTCGCCGTCCGCGCCCGACTTGGCGTAGAAGTTGCAGTGGATCTTATAGTTGGCTGCCTTAGCCTCGTCGAACGGCACGGGGAGATAGGTCCGCACGTAGCTCCCCCTCTTGCCGCCCGACTTGCAGAGCATCTGCTGCACGCGGCCGCACCACCAGTCGAACCTACCCGCGCTGTCGTACGTGGCGATCACAACGTTCGTGCTGATCTCGAGCATTGGTGTTGCAATTGTGAGCGGCGACTCCGTCGGCGGGTCGGCGGCGGGCGCGGCGGACGCGGCGGTGTCAGAAGCGGCGGGGCCGGTGCCGGTGCCGGTGGCAGCGGCGCCGGGCGCAAGGCCGGCGGGGCCGGTGGCAGCGACGCCGGACGCAAGGCCAGCTGCGGCGGGCGCAGGGGGGAGGGCGGCAGAGGCGCGGTCGCGGTCGAGATCGAGCTTGGCCTGCTTGGCTGCGGCCGTGATCTTCTCTAGGCGCGACGTCGGTACGGCAAATTGGAGGACCTCGTGCCTCTCGGCTTCTCCTATGCGTGATGCCAGCAGAAAGGACGCTGATTCATGCTCAAATGAGGCACTGCGTGTCTCCTCGCAGCTGCAGCTGGCATCCGCCGTGGACTAATAAAACTGCGATCTCAGTGCCCCAGCACGCAAAATTTTCTCTGCGGGACTACCGCCCCGCACCCCGCCCGGGATGAATTCACACCTCTCAACAGCTGTTCACACCTGGAAAACTCATCGGATTTGGGCCACTTGCCTGGGCGACCCCGGACCCTTGGCGGACGCGCATGACGTCGGCCGGGACCCCCCGTGCGGGGGCCTTCGGTTAACGACGGCGTCCCACGCCCTGCACTCGCTGTTGCCGTACTCTCTGGGAGGCGCCCACCCGTCACTGGTCGTGACCGAGCCCAGCAGAGAGTCCTGTAGGGACAGGCGGGGTCGAAGGTAATCGGTGGTCCCGCCATCGTGATGCCTCGGGTTGACTTTGATCGTGTGGGAAGTGGCAAGCCTCTCAAAAATTCATTCTGAGAAACCTAATAAACTCGGATTCTCCTTCTTGCAAAGATGTAGAAAAGAAACCCGAAACCAGAGACGGGCGGGCGGGGGGGGGGGGGGGACAGGCTCTCACCAAGGCGCTGTGGTCTCCCAATGTCATTCGGACGCTCGGTGCTCTCGCGGTTGCGGGCGGCCGTGCCCGCCTCGCGCGTCAACCTTTTCGTGCACGCTGGGAACAGCCTAGCGGTATGTGCAAGCATGAGTGAGGACATGGTGTCCCTGCGCGGCTTCATGATTGGCGCATCGTCTTGCAGTATGGCGTTCAACATGCTGCAGCCGGCGCCGCTGTGGACGCCCGTCTACTGGGGTGGCTTCTTCGCGGCGATGCACGCGTACCAGCTCGGCAAGATCTTCCGTGAGCAGCAGTCCGCCGTCTCACTCAGCGGCCGAGAGCACGAGCTGTACGAGAGCGCCTTTTTGCCACACGGATTCACGCCCCGTCAGTTTCTGCGGCTAATGCAGACGGGCGAGTTTGTGACCCTTGAGCCCGGCGAGTGGTGCGCGCTGCAGGGCGAGCCGGTCGAGGCGCTCTTCTTTGTCACTGGAATCAGCCCCGAGGCGTCGGTCGAGCTGCAGCAGCTGCAGCCCACCTCGAGCTCGCCGCACGACGGGCCGCCTGTCCAGGACGTGTCCAAGGAGATGAGGCTGCTCCGCCGCGTCGACTCGATCGACGGAGTGCTGTCGCGCGTTGAGCCAGCCTCCCTCGGCAGCGGTCTGTGGGTCGGAGACGTCTGGGCACCGCGCATCGAGGCCGACTCCTCTTGGGCCCTCCCCGCGGGAGCGTCTCGGAACCTTCCCGTAGGTCTGGGACCCGAGCGTCGAGCTGCTCGAGTCGTGGCCGACCGAGCAGCAGCGGCAGCACCAGCACCAGGCGCAGCAGCAGCAGCAGCAGCAGCAGCAGCAGAAGCAGCAGCAGCAGCAGCAGCAGCAGCCGCCGCCGCCGCCGCCGCCGCCGCCGAGTCAGCCGCAGCCAGTGCATCAGACGCAGCAGCACTCTCCGCCGCCGCAGCAGCTCGCGCGACCGGCCGTCACCGGCGCCGCTGCTGACGACGAGTCTTCGCCGCCGCGGCTGCTGCGCCGGTCTCGCACGTGGAACGCGTCGGTGCGCGTGTGCGGCGGAGGGGCGGAGGCGGTGCGGTTTGACAGCGAGCGGTCCCAGCGCGCGCTGCAGGAGACAGGGTCGGACTCGGAGTCCGTCACTGAGGAGGAGTGGATGCCTTACTCAGGTTCCACAGCGCGCTGCAGGAGATGGGGCCGGCCGCTCGCCGCGCGGCCGAGCGGATGCAGATCGCCGCGCTGCAGGCCTGGGCACCACAGCATGCAGAGTTGCAGACAGACGGACGGACGGACACTCTCTCTCTCACACACACACACACGCATACACACACACACACACACACACACACACACACACACACACACACACACACACACACACACACACACACACACACACACACACACACACACACACACACCCGCACGCACACACACGCATAGCGCTTTCCCCGGCCCTTTCCCTCACACCAGCGAGCCCCTCTGCCTCGCCCCCCCCCCCCCCCCCGCGCCTGGAGGGGGAGCGGGCGCCCCTCAACGGTTGGCAGGCCCCCCCGGCGGACTGGGGGAATGCCTGCCCAAGACATGCCCCGGAAATGTCCGAAACACCTCCCGGA